GAGCCTATTAATATTGCATCATGTGGAATGCATTTTTCAAAATAACCATTAAAAGTGAAGGCAGAGGCTGGGCGTGGAGGCTCATGCCTGTAATCCCAGCACTTTGGGAGGCTGAGGTCTGCAGATCACTTGAGGTCAGGAGTTCAAGACCAGCCTGGCCAACATGGTGAAACCCTGCCTCTACTAAAAATACAAAAAAATTAGCCGGGCGTGGGCATGCCTGTATTCTCAGCTACTCAGGAGGCTGAGGCAGGAGAATCGCTTGAACCCGGGAGATGGAAGTTGCAGTGAGGCGAGATCATGCCATTGCACTCCAGCCTGGGCAATGAGAACAAAATTCTATCTCAGAAAAAAAAGAGTGAAGGCAGAGAAAAAAATCAAAGGTTACTGTAAATCTTAACATTAGAAGCCCTGCCTGTTTCAGAAACATCATGACATTTTAATAAAGAGGTACTACTCTTATCAAAATTTTCCTACTCTTAATGGAAACAGAAAATTAATCTGGCTAGATGCTGGCCAGATTACGTACTTTTGCATTATCTGTGAGAAAATATCCACTCCAAAATCAAAAGCCAGTTTGGGATGAGTTAAAAATTGGATTATATTCATAATAAAAATTAAATCCCTCAGTCCTTAACAAACAAAAGATTTATAATGACTCTGCACCTCTGACATTCTAGGTACACTGAGATTTGGTTAAGTTGAGAATGAAAATAAGGAGCCAGAACTTAGCTTGCTATTGCAGAGAAAAGCTCAAAATGATACTGTGACATGAGGGTTTCTGTTTATCCCTAAGGCTGGTGTGGCAATGACACAAAGTTTGATTGTGTCTTTTTTTCTTCCTTCTTTCTTTTTTTTTTTTTCCTTCAAAGATGTTGAGCAGCAGGGCTAATGGTTCCCCAGCAGGGTGCAAAGACAGCAGAACGCATAGGAATCAGATGTCAATGTATTCCTTCGAGATGCCCTGCTAGGACACAGCTAACTAACCAGGGCTTGAGTCTTCTCTTGGGGAATGTGCTTTGATGGTTCCCTGCCCACTCTTGCCTTCGTGATTAAAAGGCTGTCACCCATAAATCACGACTTCATCCTGTTACAATCATTTTCTTTCTTTCTTTCTTTCTTTCTTTCTTTCTTTCTTTCTTTCTTTTTCTTTCTTTCTTCTTTCTTTCTCTTTCTTTCTTTCTTTCTTTCTTTCTTTCTTTCTTTCTTTCTTTCTTTCTTTCTTTCTTTTCTGTCTCTTTCTGTCTCTTTCTCTCTTTCTTTCTTTCTTTTCTCTCTCTCTCTCTCTCCTTCTCTCTCTCTGTCTCTCTCTTTAAGGAAAAGTCTGAAGATTAAAAAGACAGCAAGTTCCAGCGAACTCTATGCTCACATATAAACATATGGATAGAAGCCTGGCCTACATCCTTATTAGATAACTATCCATCGATCTGGGACTGTTCTGTGTGTGTGTCCTACCCACCTGGCATGTTGGGAGAGCTAAATCAATGCCACAATGACATGTTGTCTTTTTCCACTTGAGATAGAACCAGTCAGCCTCTCTTGTTGACAATACATATGGTAAAGAGGACCTGCACATCGTTTTTTTTTCTTGTTTCATTTATATATTTTTATATATTTTCTGTCTGTCACTTTCTGTCAATCTCAAGATTACTTAGATAACTTCCTAGTGAATAGATTTTGGAGGAGGGGGAGTTCCTCATTGTTTTCCCTCAATGTAGTAAAAAAAATGAGTGGAACTGGAAGCTATCTCAGAGAAAAGAGTTTTGATTTTAAATGCACTGGGCATCCGAAATATACTGGTGTGGGTTGCCAACTAGGCACATAAATAAGTAGCCCTTCAGGCACCTGAGAGTAGTGATAATCTTCACCCTTTGCTTGGAGAAGAGCTAATCTCAGCAAACAGGAGCACAAGCAGAAAGTGCTTTATCTATTTCATATTTGACAAGCAGAACCCTTTTAAAACCACGAAGTAAAACCGAACTACCCAGTGAAAGTCAATGAAGTCAAAAAGCTGTACCCAAACCATATGTGTGTCTACTGTGCAGCTGCATGGCCACCCGCCCCTGCCAAACTCGCTGTTCTGTCCCACTGCTGTTCCCAGGAGCCTCCAGCCGTGGGGTGCTCTGGGTCAACTCCCACCCTCTGTAGACTCCAACTCTCCAAACTTCTCCACCAGCAGGAAGATCCCAGCTCTCTCTATGAGAGTGCTTGCCTTGGGCTCTACATGAAGGTTCTTGCCATCCAACCTTGCCCTACCTTGGGGTCAGGCCTTGGCTGTCAGAGGGGACATGCTTTGTCTCATGTGTACTCCTTGGTATCCTTTTGCAGTATGCCTAGACCAACATGGTAAAGCGAAGCTGAATTCTTATGATGCTGTATGTCAGACCAATCGCATCAGGGATTCCTGCCACCTACACACTTCCCACTTGTCTTTGATCCTCTCAGACTCCTTATTATTGCATTTTTATGTTCAAAACCCCAAACTTGACTTTCACTGAGTTATCTCAGTGAATGGTGTCACATCAGTGACCTTCTTGGCTTGTCACTTCCTCAAGATGTTGTGTCTTCCCACTAATGGTGATTCCTGCCCACTGACTAATTTGATTTCAGTTCAGAAGCACCAACAGTTAATGTGAGATTATCCAGTTAAATAGTGGATGGAAGGGAGAACACTGCCTAAGATGAAATAAAACAGGACCCTCAGAGAGGATACTTAAACTTACCCTACAAAGTTTCAGTTTGACGGCTCTTAAAATGATTGGTTTCAAAGCCTTGTATTTAAAACTTACAAATGAAATAATGAGATTTTTTTTTACTTAGTGATAATAAGGAATTAAAAAGAGCAAGATTTTCATCCCCTGTTAAATGAAAAGATACAGCAGCAAGTATGAATATGAGCTTCTGTAAACAGCTCCTTCCATATTCCCTTTCAGCATGACACATCTCTCCCCAGTTAGTTAAATAATAAAAAATGGGGCAAGAAATTTCCATCAGAGGTGAAGAACGGCAGTAGAAAGGTCACTACACCAAAACAAAGGTCAGGGGTGAGCAGGACACAACTCTCATTTGGTGGGACCATCACTTAATCTTTCTGTATGTTAATTTCCTGCAGCTGAAAATAACAGAGGTATCTAACCCACAGATAAGTAGTAAAGTAAAACAGATGTGAAAAATCAGGATGATATATAATGTGAAGGGATAATATTACTCCCTAAATTCTAGAAATTGCTATTTCCACTTAAATTCAAATAACTTCCTTCGTAACCTAAAGATTTCAAAGCATTTAATAGGAAGCATAAGATAAGCCCTAAAGGATTGTGAATTAGTAATAAAGCAAATTAACATGGAAAACCATATGAGGATCCTTTACAGCCTTTCCTATAACCAATCACATAGGAAGAGTGTGTAGACTTTGAGTTCACTCCAAAATAGCTTTGCAAACTAGTACCAAAACTTAATCAGCTTCCCACCCCAATACATGTCTTCATCCTCCTAAGCTTTACCCAAAGTAAAAGGAATGTAGTAATTGCACGAATAATTTCTTCATCCCATTTATTGCCTAAGTGTGCACACAAAACTGAATAACATTAAAAAGTAATTCAACATGTATAGTCCAGGTCAGTTTCACAAAGCAAGATATAAGTGACCCAAAAGTTGTTGGGCTTTGCATATGGGGGCCTGCTTATTCAGAGACACTGAGGATGGGAGGAGCCAACAGGAAGAAAAGAGAGTTGAGGATCCCCTTAAAATAAAGTATACATCATTTTCTATTTTGTTTGCCCAATCTTTCATTATTAAATAAAAGAACATTATGTTCCTTTTTTAACTAAAATAAGCGATTGTAGATTATTTTAAAACTTTACCTGACTTTATGGTATCATGTATTTAATGACTAATATAAAACAAAAATGAATTTTTGTTTGTTATAGTTATTAAAAATTACATATCCATCTTCAAGACAGTATTCTAAGTTTGTCTGTTTGTTTTCAGGGTTCTGTGATAGGGCTCAGCAGTTCCTAAAAGTGCTGAAAACGAAGTGGTAGATGATCTTGAACTTGATGGTTGTGAGGTCCTTAAAAAACAATACTGTGTTTTTAATAGGGTTACATAGGGTGAGGAACTAAAGAGCTTTTGCTTTCCCTGCATGTTTCTCACTTTGAAGTTAGAAAAGCAGCTCGGTCTGATTGAGCTAGGTTGGGGGTAAAGAACTTGCCAGGTTTTTACAAATGAAAGCAAATGCTTAGAAGTAGAATTAAAAGCCAATGTACACTAAACTGTTAGTGTTAACTGACGCCAGCCCTGATCCGTACTCAAAACATGGAGTGTGAACCATTCAAAGCGACACTTTTCTCCTTTCAGAAGGAGAGGCCTACACACCAAGTAGCAAAGCTGGAGTCATTAGTGCATCTCGCTCAAAATTCACTGGTTAGGATTTGCCGCATGCATCTCAGAGACAGGTGGATTTTGAAGCTGGAAGGTGTGTCACAAAACCCCCCCGCTCAGACCGTGGGGTCAGAGCAGAACACTAAGTTTCCTGGAATCCTTATTCTCACATGATATTAATAAAGAAAATTTGTTAAAAAAAATTCCATGGTCAAATATGTTTGAGAAATTGAGTTGATCAAGTTCAAATATGTTTCTTGGCCCTGTGAGCTTTTGTTGAACAGATAGTTATTAGATGATGGCTGGATGTTCATGTTCTATGGGACACAGTTTGAGAGATAGTAAATAAAATCTTATTATCCCTGGTTTACAGATGAGGGAGTGGAGGCTCATGGAGATTATGTCCTAGAAGGTAGAGAATGCAGGTCTGCAGCCTCTTAGAACCAACTCTTCCCAGACAGGGGACAGTCAGAAGTTCAAAAAAGACAAACTGCAGCCAGAGCTCTCAGCAATGTACATACCCTGGAAATGTCTCCTAAAATGAGTGCTTTTGAGAAGCACACACTTTTCCTTTTCTGATTCACTCAGAACATGTAGGCCCTCCCAAATCAAAGTACCTGATACAAAGGCATGCAGATGCTATCAATCCACTCCAGTTGCAACCGAGGCAGTTCATCTTTCCGGTTCCGATCAAAAATTGCCTAGAATCAGGAGGGCGGGGGAAGAACCTTGCTTTACTACAACAAAGTATTTTACAGGGTGCTTTGTCAAACACTTTGCTACAGTGATCCATTTTTTACAAACTGAACCCTTCACAAATCACAATCAATCTTTACACATACTTTCTTTTCCTTTATCATGATGAGAAATGAAATGTTTTTACCTCTTTTTATGAGATTTGTAAGCAAATTTACTTGAACTTTCTAGCGTGCAACTTCTTGGGGCAAAAACCCATCTTCAAATATAAGCAACTGCTACTAAATCAAGTCATCAGGTCACTGCGAATTGGGTACAGGTCAAGGGGAAAGGAATATGTTTTACTGCCACAAAAATAATGCAGGTTTTTATTTCTATAGTGAGAGGTTGGGATAGAATGGGACAGATTGGAAAATATCCTTAAAAGCAATTTTATTGTAAATAGAAACCATTTATACTACTTTTTCAGGGTGAGGGGTTGATTTGGCAATTACATATGTTTTTCAATAAGGTTCTGTCATTAATAAATTTTTAAATATTTATCTATCATTGTGTGGATGATGATGGATGGTACGCATTATCTCTTCATTTCCAGCCCTTAAGCTTTATGATGTTATAATGTTTGAGATAATTTAGGTATATTTTTGAGAGAAATAAATGACATTTTTCTGTTGGGCAGACTTAAGGGAAACAATCAATTGGAATTTTAGTGTTAAAATTAATTCACTGAACAAACACTGCCAATTCTGTGCCAGTGAGACTGTCTCTCCCTTTGTTCTTAAGGAGTCAGGCCCAGGCCTGAGAAGCTCCCCTGTGCCCTTACTTACCTAGAAGACTGGGCTATCTAGTTATAACTTGCCCTCCCTTAATGTTATACAGTAAGTTTTATCTTTCCTCTACATAAAACATGGCATTCACATCATTTTGGTGTCCTTATAGGCCATGAGGGCAGAGCCAAGCAATCCCCTTGGTCCAGAGGTGTTGGAAAAGTCCTGCATCCTTCAGATGTATGAACAAGAGTGGGAGTGGGTGGGGCAGAAATCACTAGCTGCCAAATCTGAGGAAAATATCTCCAAATTGGGGAGAAGGTCACTGATAACCACAGGCTCTTCTCATCCTTGTCTTGCAATGGGAGATGGGAAATAGCAGGAAAGAAGTCTGGAATTTAGAGAAAATTGTGAAAATGTGCTGGAGAGAGGGATAGCTCTTGTGAATAATATGAGTCTTGGTCCAAAATGTCTCTTTAGAGCTGGGTGCGGTGGCTCATGCATGTAATCCTAGCACTTTGAGAGGTTGAGGTGGGAGGATCACTTGAGCCCAAGCATTCAAGACCAGCCTGGACAACAGAGTGAGGCCCCTGTCCCTACCAAAAAAAAAAAAGTTAGCCAACTGTGGTGGCACACACTTGTAGTCTCAGTGACTCAGGAGGCTGAGGTGAAAGGATTGCTTAAGCCCAAGAGGTTGAGGCTGTATTGAGCTATGATTGTGTCGCTGCATTTCAGCCTGGGTGACAGAGTGAGACTCTGTCTCAAATAAAATAAAATAAAATAAAAATAAATAAATAAATAAATAAATAAATAAATAAATATACAAAATATTTCTTTAAAAAATATTATTCTGGGCTAAGTGTGGTGGTTCATGCCTGTAATTCCAGCACTTTTTCAAGCCAAGGCAGGAGGATCACTTGAGATCAGGAGTTTGAGACCAACCTAGCCAACATGGCGAAACCTTGTTTCTACTAAAAATGCAAAAAATTAGCTGGGCGTGGTGATGGGCGCCTATGATCTCAGCTACCTGGAAGGCTAAGGCAGGAGAATAACTTGAACCCAGGAGGCAGAGGTTGCAGTGAGCCGAAATTGTGCCACTGCACACCAGCCTGAGCAACAGAGCAAGACTCCATCTCAAAAAAAAAAAAAAAAAAAAAAAAAATTAGGTTTTATTTTCTCTATAGTTCTCTTTGCTATAAAAAATGTTCATATTTATTTAATTATTCAATTTCTAGTGGATATTATAAAGTTACTTTTTAAAAAAAATGCAGTGGTTTTTAGTATATTTACAAAGTTAAGCAACTATCACTACAATTATAGAACATTATTAATCATCCTCAAAGAAACCCCATACCATTAGCAGTCACTCTCGTTTCTTCCCAAACTCCCAGCCTTAGGCAACCACTAATCTATTTTCTCTATTGATGGATTTGCTTATCCTGCACATTTCATATGAATGGAATCTTATGATATGTGGTCTTTTGTGACTTGGCCTCTTTGCACTATTTTCAAGGTTTACCCATGTAGCATGCATCAGCATTTCGTTCATTTTTATTGCCGAATAATATTTCATTGTATAGATGTTTTATTTATTTGTTCATTAGTCGATTGACATTTGAGTTGCTTCCAGGATATTATGAATAATACCTGTGAACATTCACATACAACTTTTTATGTGGATGTATGTTTTCATTTCTCTTGGGGATATACCTAGAGGTAGAATTTCTAAGGCATATGGTAACTCTGTTTAACTTTTTGAGGAATTGACAAACTGTTTTTCAAAGCAGCTGCATCATTTCGCATTCCTGCTAACAATGTATGGGGTTCCAATTTTTCCATGGCCTCACCCAACGCTTGTTATTGTCTGTCTTATTTGCTATAGCCATTTACATATTTTCTTTGGAGCTATGTCTGTTCAGATCCTTTGCCTATCTTTAAATTGAGTTGTCTTTGTATGATTTGCAAATATTTTCCCATAATATGGGAAAATTTACTTTCTTGATAGTGTCCTTTCATCCATGAAAGTTTTTAATTTTGATAAAGTTCAATTTGATTTTTTTTTTTTTTTTTTTTGAGACAGAGTCTCACTCTGTCACCCAGGCTGGAGTGCAGTGGTGCAATCTGGGCTCACTGCAACCTCTGCCTCCTAGGTTCAAATGGTTCTCCTGCCTCAGCTTCCTGAGTAGCTGGGATTACAGGTGCTCGCCACCACACCTGGCTAATTTTTGTATTTTTAGTAGAGTCGAAGTTTCACCATGTTGGCCAGGCTGGTCTCGAACTCCTGACCCCAAGTGATCAGCCCACCTCAGCATCCCAAAGCGCTGGCATTAAAGGCGTGAGCCCACTGTGCCTGGCTGTTCAATTTAATTTTAATGAAGTTCAAATCAACATCTCTGGACCAACATCTCTGGGTCATTTTGTCTTTTGTCTCCTGTGCTTTTGGTTTCATATTTAAGACACCATGGTTAACCCCAATCTGGAAGATTTGTACCTATATTTTCTTCTAAGAGTTTTATAGTTTTAGCCCTTACATTTAGATGTATGATCCATTTTGAGTTTATTTCAGGGTATGCTGAGAGGTAGGGAACCAACTTCATTCTTTTGCCTGTGGATATGCAGTTGTCCTTGAACCATTGTTGAAAAGACGTTATCTTGGCACCCATGTTCAAGATCAGTTGACTATAATTTTAAGGGGTTTATTTTTGTACTAGTCACTTCTTAATCAATGCTTGATGAGAAAAAAAACAAAAAACAAAAAAACCAAGTGTGAGGCCCCACACAGTCCTGTGCTTCACAGCATTTTGCATCTCATAAAATTAGTATTAGTAATTATTTCATGTCTATATTTCCCACCAGTTGACAAGATCCTTGAGGGCAGGGAAGATGGTGTCTTCCTCATTGCTGGATACACAGTGCCTTGCTTCATGCCCGACACCTGGAGGCACTCAGGCAGGCTTTCCTAACTGACTCACTGCTTCCAATCCTGACCCTCTGGCTGTGGGCCACATTAGCCTTTGTCTTCATGAAGTGACTCCCATGATGCCTGGGACCATGAAATCTGAGAGGGCTCCAGGACAGTTTTCTTCCTAAATATCAAGGGATAATGGGCACAGGTGTCAGCTCTGGGTGCATGCATTTACAGATATTTCTGGAAAAGAACTGAGGGCTAACCCTGCCACATCAGCCAGGCCTCCCCTGATGACACGGTCATCAGTGGTGCTCCATAGTCTTTGTGAGAAGACAGAAGCATTTAGAGCTATGTTTCTACCACAAAATTAATTTCATTTATGTCTGCACTAAATGCCTTACCTGAGCCTACAGATAAAGGCTCCTTAGTGCTGCACTACTGCACCCGCCAGCTCACCAGTCCTGGCAATTTACTCATATTTTTTCATTTAATTAAAAGACCTGTGGTATTGCTGCATTGTAAACTCTTCAGAGTATGCCTCTAAAACAGTTTTTAAAGGGGGAAAAGCTTTTATTTGAAAGTAGAGATGAGAGAATTTGGGTCATAGTAGGTTTTATACATTAACTGTATGTATCCCAAGCTAATATTTTTATTTTTATAACCAAATTTGGTGACACCACCAAAAAAGGGATGTTTTGACAAACTAAGTCAATGTTGCTTTGAAAACCAAAATAATTGGTGTGTGTTTCAACTTATGTAGCTCCTGACCTTTTGTACATAAGCAACTGATTAAGAATAGTCAAAATTAGCAAGACTGCGTTCTTACTTCAAGCAGGTGAAACTGTTCAAACTAGGAGCTAGTTCTCTTGCTTTTCCTTGTTTTAAATGTCAGCAAAGAAGGATGTCTTAAAACTTGAAGACCTTATAAATACCTCCAAATGTTCAAGTTCAGTTAATTTGGGTTCTCATAAACAGACATTCTTGACAATTGATACATTCCTTGAGTATCATTGAATCTACTGTGCTATGCCAGGCTTTAAAATGCTTTGCACCACTCTCAGAGTCATTGGGTTTTATGTTTTTAGCTAATCATTGGGTAGTAATAAAGAGGCTGCCCCTCTTGAGGTGGTGACTGAGGCAGTTATGTCTTCTGTATCCTTATGTTAAAAACAGCATCACCTTGAGCCTACAGTAAACATTCTTAAGTAATAATTGAGCAGGTGAGTCCAATATAAATAGCGTTCCAATCACCAGAACCTAGTTCCACAGGTGAAACTTTTTCCTTTTGCAGACAAAGAAAAGAAACAGAGATTTGAAATGAGTTGTTTTTGGGATTTTGAAAGTTGGAAATTGGAAAATAAAATCTAGCTTCTGAAAGCTAGACAGCCTGCCTTTAATTTTTGCTGCACAGTGTTTCTATTCTAAAGTAGGCATACATGAAATGCCAGCACTGGGCTTTGAATTATTCAAATTCCACTTTGCTCATCCTCCCTCGTGCCTACTTGTCCCACTGTGGGTGCGCAGGAAATGCTTGTTAAGTAAGTAGCTCACCACTCTTAATCAGAGACTTGGGAATAAGAGTGTTTAGCATTTAAGTTTAATTAATGTTTTAAACTTTCAGGAGTGCTTCCTTAAACCCATTTTCAGTCTTTCCCATTTCCAACTTGTAATTTGGAGTTGTTTTTGAAAATGTCATTCAAAAGGGTAAATATGTGATAATTAAAGGATGAACTCACCGAAGGAGTGAGTTTGAGCTCTAATCTCTCCCGATCTCCTTGTTCAAAGAACTCACTGGTTACAAGTTCTGCCACCTGAAACATATAAATATTTCAATTCATGGTTATGTGTAGTTTATCACAAGACTCGGAAGTTCTTTCTTGCTTATGTATTTGGTGATCCTCATTAACACAGACAATCATTTAAAAAGCTTATGAGGAAATAAGTATATTAACCTTTCATGTTGGAAATCAGTTTCATTCATTTAATCAGGAGAACTTGTGCAATGTAATTTTAGATGCATGCCAACAGGCAATCTCCCACTATACAGCTTCCATATTTGGGTTGAGGCAACAGGTTGCCAGCTTCAAAGCAGGAAAAGTTCTTATACAAAAAAGTGAAGCAAATATTCATTTAATAATAATGTGTAATTATTATTATATTATGTAATGATAGTTTAGCCAACTTTTGATTGTTTCTATGTAGAATCTTTATTTTGTTGCATACTGTTATATTAGCCCAGCTTCATCTTGCCACACGAAAACTCCTCAACTCCCTCCCTACCAATATCTGTATGCACTCTGGGAGGGATAACCCCAGGGCACATCCTCTGCTTCCCACTGTTGCAATCAATCAAGAAGCAGGACTAATGCTAGATTCACTGTTAATAGCAGACTTTTACAGTAGGTCACGGTATAGTTTGAAGAGCGTGACTTGGTCTTCAGGCTGTCTGGATCTACGCACTAAAAGTGTGAATTTATGGTAGGCGCTAGTTGGTACAAGGACAATGGGACGTTTGTTCTACCTTAAACCTTAAACAGAGACTTATATTTTTCTGCTTTTAATCCATTAGCTTGGATGGTCAGCAGCTACTGATTATTGCCAAGCCAAACAGATTTCTTTTTTTTTTTTTTCTTTTCCACACCTTCACTTCTCAGGATAACTTGTGAGAAGCAAATTGATATAACAGATTAAATGTTGAATGGCTATTTTCAACGCTACTATGGTGTGCATCTAGGAAATTTCTGAGATGAACTAGCTGGATTTAAAAAATATTGGAAGAGTAGAATAAATCCCAGACAACTTCATGGCAAGAGGACATGGATACCAAACAAATTTTTCTCTATTCCAGGTTCTTATGAAGATAAGGTTCTTAAATCTGGCAAAGATGAGACAGTTTAATTTTGGTGAAGTGCATAGTAACAAGATAACTCCGTTGATCTCTCAAAAGATTTGGTCAGTCACAGATTATGGATAAAACTGAAACACAACACTAAACCCACACACACACACACACACACACACACACACGCACACACATATCTGAGAGTAGCATGTGTGCCGTCACATATAAAGAAATCAAATATCCAGTAACTTCAGATTTCTAATATTTCTATTAAGAAACATGGGCCCTTTTCAAGAATTTAACCACAAAAAAACTAGTTGGAACTGACTGAAAAATCCCCTTCACCCCAATCTCTTGTATATGTGCCTGTTTTCTAGGACTCAATTCACTTGTCTCCTCTCCAGTCTCTCCTGCTACCCTGCATTTCAGCACACCAGGCTTCTCTCTTCTTTCTCTGGCCTTCCTTTGAAGAGGAAATGGTCCCCTAAGGGTATGACCTCATTTATTCAGTTCCCAGAACTCTCCCTCAGATTGCTCTAAGCTAGGTCTTTTGCATTAAAGAATGTAAATGTGCACATCAGGCACCTCAAGGGGGGAGTCCTGCATAGGTCTGTAGCCCCTGAAAAGAAATTAAAACAAAATTCTGTCCTTGCTCTTTCTCAAGTAGTTGTTGGTATCTCCCCTATGCTCCTTTCACAGCTTAACTTGCACAACTGCTTTGTTTGTACTTAAAAACCCAATCAGGAACATTAAGTGGTTCCTGATTGAATTTTTTATTAAAGAAGGAAATTGAGATGCTAATCAGGCCTTGGGGGAATCACTGGGGAAACCCACATGCTTAGTCTTGTTTGCAGGAAGGGAAAGTAGAATAGACCCCAGCAGAAAACATTTTGAAAGGGAATTTTAAAAAATCAACATCCAGGAAGTTAGAGAAATATTTTTTAAAGAAAGGCCTATTGTTTTCTCCAAATGTTTCCTAAAATTTTGAAGTGAGCATTAAAAAAAAAAATTAACCCATCAATTTGGAGACAAACAAGAATGAGATTGCTAGCTTAGAACTGCGACAAGCTTTCTGATAGAAACATTAGGAAATACATGGTTTTGTGTTTTATTTCCCTGAACTCTTACGTTTCTGCACTTTTCAACAGAAGCTCACATCCAGAAAATAAAATAATATTTACACTAGTGACTGAGAAGACCACCTACAAGCAGCTATTGGGCCTCCCAAGTTGGCCTAAAATATCAAGGCAGAAATTTTTTTCCTTGCAAGTACTTTGCCCTGTCACTTTCCTGTCCCCTGGGGCTACTGCTCCTTGAGTTCTTGACATGCTTTTTACTGGGGTTTCTGAAGGTGCTGGCACATCATACCTCACCCCATTCCCTTTCTGGTCTTCTCTAGTTTTCTCTCAGTCCTCCTAACTTCCTCACACTCTCCGCCTCCTTCCATCCCTATTACAGGAGCCTCCCCTAGTACTACACTTTTCCCCAATACCTGGAAGAGCCTCCTACCTCTTCCCTGCAGTCTACTCACCAACTCTCCCAGAAGGGAGACCTTCCCGTATGGGAAAGGGGAGGGGGTAAGATGAACAGTGGGCAGAGATGCGGAAAGAAGCTAGTCAACCACACAAATTCTTCACAATTATCCTGCTTTCTGTGACTTTTTGTAACTTCAAATATGTCACACTGAAATTTAAACCAAAGCACAATTGGTGGAATACTCTATAGGAAAACTGCCTGATTTACATTGGACAGTGTGAGCAAGAAATAAGCCTTTATTTGTGTTGAACGACTGAAATTTCAGAATGTATTTGTTACTGAACCAAGGCCTAGCCTATCCTTGACTAATACAAAAATTGGTACGGAAGTGAGGTGTTGCTATTAAAAGAGAAAAGAAGAGAAAGAGAGAAAATGACCCTAAAACATGTGTCATCAGCTTGGGGGCCAGGTATCAAGATAACGAGGAGGCTATAAGGATGAGAATCCATGGCAAAATAATTTGTACAATTATAACTAAAAGCTAACAATGTTCTAAATAAACTTACAGTCTTGGGAGATGAGATTAGAAAACAAAATGTTGGTAAAATGTGATGGTTGCCATTGACTGTTTTGCTAGGAATTACAGGAAGTGAGTTTAGAAAAGGAGGAACAGGCTTATAACCAGGAATGAAAGGGAATAGAAACAGTCACAAATTCAGGGACTTGTAGGGATGGAAGACAAAATTACTTCTCAATTCCAAACTGTGAAAATGAAAATTGTGATACACTTTGACGAAGTTTGATTAAGACTCAGCTTTGTAACAAGAATCAAATCAAAGGTACTGCCAACACACCTAGGGTTAGATTCTGAAGGAATTTATAGTTTGCAGCATATCCTTTTAACTGGACAAAAATGGCACAACGAAATGATTTACCTATACGGTTCTCTCACTGAAGGCTGTTAGGCCCAAGGCACTAGGAATTAAGTCATAAATAAATAAATATATTTGCCATATTTCTTTATTCCTAAATGTAAAGAAGCAAATAAATACAGAAAATCTGGGATATTTGTATGGAATGTGGATGTGGTTATGGGCAAATGGAAAGGACTAGAATCAAAGACATAAAAAGCTGACTAAATGTACAAGAGAGTTTTAGTGCTAAAGAAACGCTAAGCCCATGATTACACAAAACAGGTGTTGGAACTTCAACCTTCTTTAGGTGAGACGAAGGCAGTTTGACCTCCAGATAAAGCTAAGAAGGGTGATGAGAAAGGAATAATTTCCCAGGGAGGATTGAAAGGTCGAGGGAAAAAGGAACTGGAGAGCATCTCCCAGAGGATCAGGGTCCCCTGCATGGTAGGGCACCCTCACAGTGAGTACCCAGCGGAATTCTAGAGTTGCCATGGACCACTCACCACTCCACATTGCTATGAATATCACTCATCTCTTCCCTTTCTGAATGGGAGTGTTATAATGGATATTTTGTCTTTTGTGTATGTTGGATGCTGTATTTTGGGTGTGTGTAGGTCTTTAACCTGCATCCAGATCTGTTGTAGAGACTAGCATGTATCGCCCAGAGATCCTGGACTTAAGAGTTTGATGCCATGACTGATGGGACATTTGGGTTATCTTTCTTGGAGGAAGGAATGGGTATATTTTGTCTGCTGGAGGGAGAATGAATCACATTTTTGGTGATGAGAAGGGCAAACTCTGGTAGTCACACGCTCACTATTTCTGGCTTTCTCCTTTCTGAGCAAATAGAAGGATGGTACTTCCTGGTTGGGTGGGGTCATGTGACAAGTTCTGGCTGATGAATTGTTGCGGGGAGAATTTAATTGCCAGTGCAAGACCTTCCAGGGCCTCTGTCAGAGTGATCTAGGTAGTGGCTGTTCCTTCAGCCCCAGTACAGAATAAGGACAAAGTGGCACCTGCCAACCTTAGGTGCCCATGTTCGTGAGCAATTTGTTGTTTAAAGCCACTGAGATTTTGGGTAAAATGGTAACATAGCCTATTCTGTGGATACACTTGCATCATTTAAAAATGCTGACTGATGCATATGTGAAGGAAACCATAAAACACTGCTAAGAATGAAAGCTTTGGAGCCTAACCTGCTAGAATCTATACCTAGCTCCACCACCTACAAGCTGTATAAACTCAGGCTGCTTATCCTTTCTAAGTCTCATTTTTCCCATTTGTGAAATGGGGATAATAACTATATTAGTTTCCTAAGGCTGCTGTAAATTACCACAAAGTTAGTGGCCAAAACGACAGGAGTGTATTCACTCATAGTTCTGGAGGCCGGGAGTTCTACATCAGTTCACCGGGCAGAAATTGAGGTGTCAGCAGGGATGTGCTCCCTCTGGAGGCTCTTGGAGAGAATCCGTTCCTTGCCTCTTCCAGTTTTCCTTTGCTCATGGCTGCATCACTGCAATCTCTGCCTTGTTTTCACATTGCCTTCTCTTCTGAATGTGTAATTTTCCCCTGCTCCCTCTTATAAGGACACTTGTTATTGGATTTAGGGCACACCTGGATAATCCAAGATCAGTCTGCAGTTGAGATTCTTAATCATATTTGCAAGGATACTCTTTCTTTTGAAGGTAATGTTTACAGGTTCCAGGGATTAGGACCTGATACCTTTGGGTGGCCATTATTCAGCTGAGTACAATTTTAAGGATTAAATGAGATAATATACATAAAACAATCAATAAATATTAGTTATTTATTGATATGGAAATGTATCTTATTTTCCCTAAAATTTCAAGTCTTTAGATGCCAAGTTACTGTTTTCGACCCCACACAGTAAGTGCATAATAAAACGTACATAATGATTAACCTCTAAATACTATCAGCAATCCACGATCTTAAGTTGGGTAGTTACTTAAATTGAAAACTGTTCTCATAGAACTAATGCTTTGTGGCAGATAAATCAGATAGGTGGTAAAAGCATGGTTTGTTTTTTGAAAATTAAATTGGATACTGCATATTTTGACCACAGAGCTTTCTGATATCTAAATAATATTTAAAAAGAAAAACATCATTTCCTTTTTGCCTCCTTTTATTTTCAGTTATAAAAAAACAAGACCTTGTGCTAAGACATGATTATCTTGCCAAAAATCCTGTCTTTGAAACTCTTGCCTTAATGGTCAATGTATTATTCAGATTTAGCACATTAAAAATATCTTACAGAGTCGGAAATATTATTGCTTAGTGAAAGCACGATAAAAAAAAAAAGGCTGTGCAGTAAACTATGTCGTGCCTAAGCCTCCTGCTATTTTTTACACCATGTTAATACTGATGCAAATTGACTAGGGTTTCAGTGCCTGGTAGTCTGGGCTCTGGGAATATTGTGTCCCCCTTACCCCCACCAGTCCCTCCTCTGCTGAGCCCTGCCATTAATCACCACTTGCCTGTCTCGAGATCTCCCACGGTTTGGTCACGGCTCCAAGGTCACAGGCTGTCATTAACATTGATCTGAAAAACAGAACCAAACAAAACAGCCTGAATAATCTTTTGTTGCATTCCTAAACAAACCCGTCCTAGATACATAAATAAATAAAATAAAATGGAAACGAGGCCAGCTCACATCTTCCTTTCTTCAACAAGAGGCAGCACTGTTTATAGTCCCTGTGTTCAGCATCTCCATCATGTGGCCACGCTGCTTAGGAAGACAAAGCTCTCACACATCCTCCGGTGGCCCTTTTGTTTTGTCTGCAGCAAATCAAGGAAAGCAAAGCACTACTTTCTCTACACCTGAGCTAAGCAAGCTCTGCTTAAAATAATTTATAATGGACAATGTTGTTCTTTTTTTTAAACTATAAGCAAGAGAATCAGTATATAACACTATATACATGGCTGATGAAACTACTTACCAACTTATCATTGATTGATGGGAACGAAAGAAAACCCACACCAAAGAGGCAAGGCACATGCCACATAAGGGGCTCCTTCATTTTCATCTGCTCTATAGAGCTAAGATTTATGGGCAAGAGCCATATCGTTTCACTCCAGTTTACTACCTGGCTCCAACCATGGTTTACAAGCATTATGAAGAAGAAACATACTCAGCTCCAGCTTTCATTAATTTGGGCACATAAGAAAGCACAGGAATGGTCTGAATCAAAGTTCTGAGGGGCAGGGTTAACTATAATTCACACTGAACCATGGAAACATGGGGAACAATTCAAATTGTAGATAGCTCTGGTGCTTATATATAATTTAATGTGGTGGGAGGAGGAAAACTAAGGCACACTCTGTCCCAAATCTGCTTTCTTTGTGCTAAAAACCAGCAGAATGTGATGAAAAGTAACATAAGATTTGAGCTGGGGAACCACATCTTGGTTAACTGCTTTTGGAAGAAAGGGGTATGCAGCCAAAGGTCAGAGGGCTGTCCTGATGTCGGGTGTTAACATTTCATACCCTGCCAGATCTAATGCCTTGGAAACATGTCTGCTGCCCAGATGGCAGAGCATGCTTAGATGGCAGGGGGATCCCCCCACAGGAAACCCCTCCAGGGAACAAGGCAGGGTCACACATAACAATAGGTCATTCAAGTCACAACCAGGCAGCACCGGCATCAGCAGCCCTCTCGACCCAAGCAGCAATGATGAAACCTCTAATTCCAAACATCCCTGTGTTAAGCACTACGCAAAGGGAGACACATCAGCCTATTCATTTTTGACCTTCTGTATTGGGCATTTCTACACTGCTTACTGTGTGTCTGCCTCTGTACTAAGTGCTTTACTAACCAACTGCTAACTAAACTACTTGTCATCACCACCCCAGAGGTAGTTGCTATTATCCTTATTTTACAGATAAGTAACAGAAGCACGCAGAGATTAAGTCATTTTACCTTCCCAAGGTGAGTAAAGGATTCAGGATTCTGTGCCTATCACAAAGCTACCAGATGCCCTCTTGCTACACATGGATGCTGTCAGTACTGGAGGGGGACAAGACTGGCTAAAGCATTGGCTTTCTCAGCATCTCTCCTGCACAGCAAATAATCTCTGTGAGGTTGCCTATTTGTATCATAATGTGGATAATTACTTAGGTTCTGTCCAATTGATAATTTGAAACTTACTTCTCAAATGCATATCAGTTGATCAACAAGTTTATTGAATATCTGCTAGGTGCTCAGGTGATAATTCTAATAACTACCACTTATTGGGAAGCCTCCACAGGGTGATTGACTCAGTCTCTATATGTGGTAGCAATACTATTATCTCTTATTTACAGATTAAAAAAAATAAGGCTCAGAAAGGTTAGGTAACTTGCCCAAAGATGTATAGTTAGGAAGTGTCAAAGCTGGGATTGGAATCCTTTGTCTGACAGAAGAATCTCTACTTCAATGAATACAGGGGAGCAGGTAGTCCACACAGAGAAGGGATACAGGAGAGGCTGAGAGGTAGGACGGGTGGAGTGGCTGTAACCTTTGTCCGTCTGGCACTGGAGAGTCAGCTAAGGCTGGGGACTCACAAGGGACCTGGACAGACCTTTAGGGAGGAAACTTTAGGTGGTGGATGTGAGGATGGTTTGAAGAAGGACAGGGTGGAAGGAGGGAGACTCATTGGAGACATAAATTGACAAAAGCCTAAAACAAGGAAGGGAGAGTGGGAAGGAAGATTGCAGGAGGTACAGGGATGGAAGATTGCAAAGGAAGAACTGAAGAGAACAAATGAGCAGTTCTATCTTATTTTTTAGATTAAGGCTCTTCAAGAAGTGAAGGATCTTTTTGAGAGTAAGAGACCAGGGAGAGAGTTTCTACCAACTGTTTTAGACTGAGGTCCCTATAATTCTAGTTCAATTTACAGTGAGTTAACGTACCTCTCCTCTATATGACAAAATTATTTCAATAATCATCTTGTGACAGTCATTATCTTCTTGTTCTGTAGTTGTAAAACAATTTAAAATGAACAAATTTTAATGTTAAAGATGTATTCAAATTGAGTAAAAAGATTTTGTGTACAGACCGAAATTTATACTTGCCAAACAAAAATACGACATTTTGCAGTTTGCACTTTCTTTCACTGTTTTAAATTTTAAACATGAATAAAACCCATGAATGATCACATAAAATGACAGAATGAAAGTATCTCAAGTTATGTGTCTTCATATTTACCATCACTGTGCTATCATTGTTTATTCTGAATATAGTCTTTAAAAGCAGGAATATAGTTCTGCAAGGTTGGAAACACAAACGACAGCCAGAGAGTTTGAGAGGTTCTGAACAGTTAGGAACTTACTATTGAAAGTGTGTAGCTGCATCCACCTACATCAGGAGCCAGCTGTATGCCTGGGCATTCTTAGAATTAACTTATGTTACGTGTGCAAATAAGGGATAAATGATAAATGTACTGATTTGAAACTTTCATATCAATTATTTTTTATCTTAACAGTAACCTCAGCAATTGTTTCGAATTTAAACCAACAAAAGACATTTCTTAGGAGGTATATCTCACCATTGACTATTTAGAATTGCTGGCACATGGTGATAATAAAAAGCAGACTGACTTTTAGTTGGTTTTATTACCATTTTAAAATTCTCTACAGATGGTGCTCCCTTAGAGCACCACCCTTGGTGCAAGGTGGTCAGAGCGTAACCATGAAATGGGGGAGGAGGGCAGATGAGGGGAGAGGGGAGAACCCGGAGCACCTCCATTTTATGTACCGTGCTTCCAAATAAGATATTTCTTCCACATGGGGTTCCTTGTCAAAAAAGTTTGAAAATCTCTGTAGGAAAATATCTAAGTAGAGAAACTGAATGAGAATTGGCATTTCAGGAAAAGAGCTCAGAAGAGAGGCTAAGCCCAAGAAAAGGGCTGGCAGTCATTTGAGAAGAGATAGTAGTGACACTAGAAGGATGCTGAGGAAAAGAGAAGAGAATAAAAAATACATCCCTGGGGGACAGTTCTGTTTAGGGCTAGAAAAAGACTAAGAAGGAAAGAGTCAGAAAGAAAGAGAATCCAGAAGCATATATAGCTTTGCAGAATCCAAGACTGGAGAGGGTTTTAAGAAAAGAGAGACCAACTCAATTAGGGGCTATAAAGAGATCAGGAAGCTGAAGAGAACAAAGATTGCAGCATTTAATACTTGGAAGGTGACTGTGGTTCAACAGAAGCAGAAATCACATAGTACAGACTTAATTCCTCAGTAAGGAATGGGTAAATATTCTGTGTTATATCTGTATTTTGGAATACTGTGCAACGATAAAAGGCGATGAGGTAAAAACATGTAAAGAATTCCAAACCATGTAGTTGAGTGGAAAACCAGGTTCACATTGGTATATAAATATACAATTTATGTTAAAATAGACAATCAAAATACACACTAAACAGTATTTTTCCTAAGGGTACATATGTATGTAAGTGCTTTGGAAATGGCCTGGAAAAACACAATATACTAATGACAAAATACAGCTGTGCAACCAGTATGGGAACTGGGGGTTGAGCTCAAAGGAGATCTGGGGGCTTATTAGCAATATTTTGATTTGTTACAGAAAATATATATTCATATAATTACTCATGGAATTAAAAATTATACAAAAAGAAAGAAATTGCCTTGCAAGAAATTAGGAAGTGTGGAGTGAAGTGTGGGAGTGAAGGGAAGGAGAAAACTATGATGGGACCTGGAGAAAAGGCAGCCTGTAGGGATGACTTTTTGACTGGGGAGGCAGAAGTGTGATTTTAGATTTAGAAAGGTCATGATGAATAAAATAGATTTTGAAAATGGAAGCCAAAGGAGCATGATTGATAGAGCCAGGTTGCGGTGGGGGGTGGGGGATGGGGAGGTGGAGGGAATAGAATTAGGGCACCAGTGGAGGGGCTGGTCTTGAAGATGAAAAATGAAGAAAAAGGTCTGTAAAGATAATACAGAGGAATATTAAAGTATAGAGGAAAAAACTAGAGCCCTCTGGGGAGAGGGCTGCAGGAAGGTGATATGAGGACAGCTACAGAGGGTGGGGCAGGCAGTGGCCTGTGTTCAGAAGATGGTGCCAGAGATTTTATATAGCAGATATGGCAGGACTATGTCAAGGTTTTCGCTTGGGGTAATCCAGTAGTTGCCTGGTTGTGGAGCAGACCCAGTGAGCCCTAACCCTGGCCTCATGAGCTCTCTCAGCAAAACTTAGCAATGTTAGAACAGGAATAAGACAGCAGGAGGTCTGGGGTGGGTGAGGTGGAGACAGTGGAAGAATGGGGTATGAGAGAAAGAGGAATGGTGCCCAGTGTCTGGAGTGGCTGCAAGAGAGGTTAAAATCTGCCCCATACACACAGTGTGTTGCTACTGTCCTTTCTAAACAACTTGGAAGATGTCCCAGGCAAAGGCTAGAACAGACTTCTTATCTCCACCTCCAATATTGTTCTGATTGGTCTATTGTCTCTAAAGAAAAGCAAAAGTTACTCCCCACTTCCTTTGTGCTGTGTAACTCTGATTTCTAGGTTACAAAAATCCCTTCTCCACCCAACTTGCACCCCAGCTTCCCCAGAAAACAGAAGAAATCGTGGCTTGCCAAAACTGAACTAATTTGAACTTCATTTTCTAAATTTGATGGCAGAGTTTTTGGAGAAGAGACAAAAATATAATACATTATAAGATGAAAAGACATTCTCAATAATTTCTCTAGTTATCCAACTGATCTCTGAATGTTTTGAATGTAAGCTTTGTTACTTTAAAAATCACTTCTATGCTCTTAGCACTGTCAGAAAAACATGGCTAAATGTCCAAATAATGAAGAAACACATAAACAAGAGCTTTTTCTTACCGAAATACATCACGATGGTTTTTGATGTTCCAATCGTATTCTCCTTTACTGACAAGTTCAAAGAATTCAGTTCTCCTCCTGCAGGAAAATCAAATGAAGAAAGAAAAAAAAAAACTGGAATGAGATTTCCCAGTCTGTGGGGTGACATAAATACATTTATGGGAAAAACATAAGACCACCTGAACCGAGTAACTTAATATTTGAAATCATGAGGCTAAAGCACTATCAAAATAAATCACTTTCTAAAAATGTTGAGGCTTCAAGGAAAAGCCACAATCATTTCTGAATGTATTTACAACAGAGGAGATTATAGAGCCATAAAACAGAAAACAATGTGGTGCGGCATTTAGGATTATGTGCTCTGAAGCCCTTGTGACACTTACTGAAAGTCAGAGAAGGGAAGCAAGGACAAATAAAAAGTGGGAACAACTCTAGAATGTTCTTTTATCATCCAACAAAGAATTGAGCTGTATGATGATCCAAGATAAGATAAACTCCCTGGTAGTAAATTCAAGATAAATATTTTTTTTTTCAGGTTAAAAAATAACTATTTCACCATTTCAGTGCTTAAACGCATAGACTATGAAGTCTGTAACCATGTTTAAACACTCGCTCAGCTCAGCAACTCACTTGCTGTACAACTTTGGAAAGTTAATTAAACCCTCTAACTCTCAATTAACTAATCTCTAACACGGGGATTTTAGTTGCTAACTCACGGAGTTACTGTGAGGATTAAATGAATGACATGTGGAAAGCATGTAGCATAGTGTCTGAACATTTTAAGTGCTTGACCCTGTAAACCGAAAATAAAATTCTAAGCCCCCAACCAAATAAATGGACTTCTCCTCTTTGGTCAAGGGCATTCCTAAATTAACCTGAAACTCTAGTTCAGGCCATGATGGGAAGTGGGAGTTGGACATGCCTCATTATTCCTTCCTCCCTTTTGCAATTCAGATACGGTTGACCAGCATTAACATTAAAACAGAGACCTTAAGACTGACAAAGCAGACTCTTCATAGCAATGAGATACCAACAGGACAGATAACAGGCCCTAAAAGAAATCAAAGTATTTTATCCCAGAATAGATTTATTTGACATATTTTGAAATGGCCTTACAAAACTGTCTCTTGTGGAGAAAAATCTACGTTCTGTAGAGAATCCCCTTCCCTTTCCAGGTCTTTTTCCTAATCCAGAAGAGAATTAAGTAAGAGCACCTTTTAAAGTCTGATAAGAAACATTTACAATTTATTCTCTTTGAAGGCTGCTACCTGGAGGCTTCATCTGCATAACAGAAACATTTGTCTCCACAACCCCTTATCTTAACCCAGACACTCCCTTCTATTGATACCAGGTCTTTAGATAAACCCTTTCAACTAACTGCCCATCAGGAAATCTTTGAATCCACCTATGACCCAGAAGCCACTCCCTCCTTCAAGTTGTTCCACCTTTCCTGACTGAACCAACATACATCATACATGTACTGATTGATGTCTTATGTCTTCCTAAAACATATAAAACCAAGCTGTAGTCCAACCACCTTGGGCATATGTTCTCAGGACTTCCTGAGTCTATGTCACGGGCATGTCCTTAACCTTGGCCAAATAAACTTCTAAATTGATTGAGACCTGTCACAGACACTTTTTGGTTTACAACTCACATGTACAGCCATGGAAATTCATTTGGAGATGTATAGATGTGGAAAAGACAAGAAAAGAATATTTTAGTTAGATGATTTTCATATTTAGTGAGAAAAGGAAAAAAAGAGGACATCACCATTTTGATTTAAGAATCACTTCCCAGGTTTTCATCCTCTTGGCACTTGCTAATGAGAGAATATTTAAAAGATCCTAACACACCATTTCCCAAAGTGCATCTCTCAAAATGCTAGTCTTAAGAGGTGCTCCATGTGAAGACCTTCCTGGCCAAGTAGGTTTGAGAAATGCTGCCCTTAATATACCTCTCTTGGAGACCCCATCCATATTAACCTTTGAAGTCTCTGAGAAATATGGAGGTAGAAAAGCCTGTTTAACCTTATTTCACCACAAAATTCCACACAGTACTGATGTTTCAAAAACTACACTTTGGAAAATACCACCATGACATATAATTTATGGTAGAAATCAGACGAGGATCTCAGAAACTTAGTGCTGACCTGCTGTACTGGGGGACAAAGGACAAGAGGTTGAGAACAACTGGCTCCACTGTGTCTGGTCTGGGGTGCTCATCACCAACTGACCAACTGTGTGGATTTCTTGCCAATGGGTCAGACTAACTACTAAAATTACTTGAAAGGAGACAGGTCAGGAAGACAAATGTATAGCTCACTTCTGTATTAGAGACACAAAGACAGGTCCTGGATCTATCCTTTCGAGATGATGCAGGTCAAGGCCATACTAGGCCATACTACATACAGCATGGAAGAATCTCCAAGACAACCTTACAGGAGCTGGCGAGATAGCATAGCCCAATTACATAGAAGGGCTCAGGAACGCCTTCTGCTTTGGGTGGGCAAGTGTATACATTTCTTTTCTTCATATAACTTTCTTATCTTCTTCACTTGACCCCTTCCATTCTTCATGACCAATGGTCGTGCCTTTTTCATATTACTGACACAGCCAAGTAAAAAGGGCTCCCTGGATAATCTCCAACTGGCCTGTGCACTAGGAGGATGGGTGAGGCCTCGGGAAGTTTGTGCTGTTTGCAGTAGGGAGGAGCCTGGCCCCTTCTGTTCCCACGTGGGAACCTGGGATTCAATCTGTGAGATGGGGGCCTGTTAACAGGAACTTCTTTTGCTTTGCTGAGAGTCTTTTTCGTTTTTGCCCAATAAATTCCATAACCTCTCACTCTTCAAAGTGTCTGCTTGCCTAATCTTTCCTGGTCGTGTGACAAGAACCCAGTTTTTTCTACAACATTACCATCACTGACTGTGAAGTGAAATAGAAAGGGAAGTGGTGGAGTGGAAAGAGCCCAGGTTTGGACCTGCACTGACCTGGGCTTAATGCTGACTGTCACTTATTAGCTGTGTGATCTTGGGTGAGTGACTTCACATTGCTGAGCCTCAGTTTCCAGCTTTGTAGTGAGAAATTGAGATAAGGTGCACTAAACATTTGGCCCTGTTAGATACTCAATACCTGAAGCTATGGTTAATTTGTAAACAATATTAATACTATTACTGCCAACAATAATACACAGTGGACTAACTGGACTAATGGAGATCTAACAGTTTGCCCAGTTTTCTCCTCTCACTACATAGAAATTCATCTTTTTTTCAAATTATTATGAAGTCTAATAAGTATTTATTGAGCATCTACTCTGTACCAAGTCTTTATTAGGCTTTACGATCACAAGATAATTGGGGGTTACTTTCAAATGTCTCTGAGTTTAGCCAGGGCTACCAACAAATAAATAGATAATTCCCTCTTTAAATGTAATATTAATGAGAATAATAATACTGGGACTAGAGTGAGCTGAGAGAGGCACTCGCTTGGGGCACAAAATTGAAGTGGGTGCCAAAAAATTTACTTATCAAGATAAATATTTTAATGCGATATTTAACAAAATAAAAATAAATGCAAAAAATCCATAATGAACACAGCAACAAAATTCCAAATAAAGACAAGATCTGAACTTGTACTTGAACCACTCACCTCACTTGCTTCACCCTAGTTCCAGCCCTGATGAGGATGATATTCACTGGGTCTTTACGGTGTTCCTGGCAGACTTGCTGGGGTCTGGCACTCACTACTCACATGACTGATCTTGAGTAGGTTACTTAACCTTGCTGGGCTTCCATTTTCTTATTAGTAAAAGAGCTATAGTAATGAGATCTACATTGTAGGGTTGGTGGGAGGACCAAATGAAATGATTTATGTAAAACACTTTAGCAGATTGCCTGGCAAAATTAGGTTATCAGTAAGGACTCGTTAACTGTGATTAAGCTCAGAAGGGTGAGTACCTGGCTCAAGGTTTCACAGATGGTGAGTGGCAGAGCTGGGATACAAACACAATAGGTTAAAATAACAGCAAAGATACATTCAGGGTGTCCTTGGAGCACAGAGGAAGGCACTTCGCTTGGCTGGGAGGATCCTGGAGGATTGTGAAAGACTTCCTGAAAGCTTGTCAGCCATCATCCTTGTCATCACATGCTCCTGGGTGGCCATTTCAATTCTATGAGTTATTCCAAGAAATTGCTAGAATGCAAGCTTCATGAGGACAAAGGCTTGGCCCACTTTTGTTCACTTCTGCCCCTCAATACCTACAACAATGCCTGACATGTAATAGAAGCTCAATAAATATTTGTTGAATTGATGAATGAATGAGAATGATTATCTCAGAAAGCTAATCATTGAACAAACAAACTCTTTAAACACTGGTTTCACCTAGATCCTAATTTTTCTAGGGGCTTCACAGTTGCCATTTGGAGAGATTTAAGTAAGTAAACAACACAAAATCTATTCAAGAAAAGCCCTGTCAGATTCTTGCAGAGTAGATTCTAACTTGAACCAAATGGGCAACATAACAAGTTGTAGGAAGTAGAACACCATTTCCATCCAATATCTGACTCCCTTCCACTAACTATTGTTATATCTGCCCATAGTATGTTCACTATAGGGAACATAACATCTTTGATGCAGAGTGAAAACATGTTCCCTGGGTGCCTAACTCATTGCAGAAAACAAATTCCTTTCTTCCTTTTTTTTTGAGATGGAGTTTCACTCTTGTTGCCCAGGCTGGAGTGCAGTGTCGCGATCTTGGCTCACTGGTTCTGAGGCGTGATCTGCCTCCCAGGTTCAAGCGATTCTCCTGCCTCAGCCTCCCGAGTAGCTGGGATTACAGGCATACACCACCAGGCCTGGCTAATTTTGTATTTTTAGTAGAGATGGGGTTTCTCCATGTTGGTCAGGCCGGTCTCGAACTTCCAACCTCAGGTCATCTGTCCGCCTCAGCTTCCCAAAGTGCTGGGATTCCAGGTGTGAGTCATCGTGCCCGGCCCAAATTCCTTTCTTTAAAAAATACAAATCTGTGATATGACAATCAAACAGCATCATAAGAATAAATTCCCCAATGATAGAAATTTT